GAGGTCGAAGAGGTGCTGCCTGTGTTCTCCTCAAGGATTCTGATGGATTCCTGTCTCACATTGAGGTCTTTCATCCATTTTGAGTATATTTTAGTGTGTGGTGTAAGGAAATGGTCCAGTTTCATTCTTCTGCATGTGGCTGTCCAATTTTCCGAACACCATTTGTTGAAGAGATTGTCTTTTTTTGCATTGGACATTCTTCCCTGCTTTGTCAAAGATTAGGTGACCAGAGAGTTGAGGGTCCATCTCTGGGCTCTCTGTTCTGTTCCATTGATCTGTGTGTCTGTTTTTGTGCCAGTACCGTACTGTCTTGATGATGACAGCTTTGTATTAGAGCTGGAAGTCCAGAATTGTGATGCCGCCAGCTTTGCTTTTCTTTTTCAACATTCCTCTGGCTATTCAGGGTCTTTTCTGGTTCCATACAAATTTTAGGATTATTTGTTCCATTTCTTTGAAAAAAGGTGATGGTATTTTGATGGGGATTGCATTAAATGTGTAGATTGCTCTAGGTAGCATAGACATTTTCACAATATTTGTTCTTCCAATCCATGAGCATGGAACGTTTTTCCATTTCTTTGTGTCTTTCTCAGTTCCTTTCATGAGTATTCTATAGTTTTCTGAGTACAGATCCTTTGCCTCTTTGGTTAGATTTATTCCTAGGTATCTTATGGTTTTGGTTGCAACTGTAAATGGAATCAACTCCTTAATTTCTCTTTCTTCTGTCTTGGTGTATAGAAATGCAACTGATTTCTGTGCATTGATTTTATATCCTGCCACTTCACTGAATTCCTGTATGAGTTCTAGAAGTTTTGGGGTGGAGTTTTTTGGGTTTTCCACATCAAGTATCATATCATCTGCAAAAACTGAGAGTTTCACTTCTTCTTTGCTGATTCAGATGCCTTTTATTTCTTTTTGTTGTCTGATTGCTGAGGCTAGGACTTCTAATACTATGTTGAATAGCAGTGGTGATAGTGGACATCCCTGCCATTTCACCTCTATTCTTAGAGCAACAAGAAGGCATGGAGAGCCAGGGTTCCATTACAACCTGTGATTATATTTGAATTTGGGTGAGAGTAAGTAATAATAATTGTTATAATTTAAAAATAGCTAAAACTACACTCAGTATGGGCCAGCCACTGTTGTAAGTGCTTTCCATATATTAACTAATATGCATCTCACACAAACCCTATCAATTAGTACTATTTTGATGCCCAATTTATAAGTGTGGAAAGTGAGATATACCAATATCTCATATTATGTAACTTGTCCAAGTTTACACAGCTCACAGGTGGCAGAGCTTGTGAGGAGACCCATTAGGAGGCTGTTGCAGAATTATCAGCAAAAGATGCTCAGGGCTTTGATGGAAGTAAATGACAGTGGGGAGTCATTAGGGTAATGGCATTAAGATATATATGAGCTGTAAAATTTATAGGATTTACATCAAAAGTACTACATTTCTAATTGTTTGGTATCCTTAAAAATTACTCATTATGGAAAGAACACTTAACATGAGATCTGCCCTCTTAACAAATATTTAAGTGTACAATACGGTATCGTTAACTATGGCCAGACACTTTTCAACTTGACTATCTTGCTGTTACTCAGTTTTCTACTAAGACTCTTTCTCACCAGTTTTTCCTATTCCTGTTAAAAGTATTATCTGTAATTATGCAGACCGAAAGCCTCAAAGTAATTTTTTTCTATTTCTCTCTCCCTTTTTCCTAGTGAGTGAATAGTCACAAAGCCCATGCCAGTTACCTTTGGCAAAGTCTTCACAATTCATCTCATTCTTCCCATCCCCAGTGTCCTCCCTGTAGAAATTTAAGTGCAAGTCTGCTCGCACAGAAGGCTATCAGCAGGCTGTCCTGACTGAGTCACACAGTTTTACCTTGGTTCTGCATCTAACCCTCAGCTAAACCAATGCTGTAACTGAATTTTGGGAGAATGCAGAGAATGGGCTGTGTATTGCTGTTAGATCCACTTTAACTAAGACATGGGAACAATTTAAGAAGTGATGGAAGAGGGAAGGAGAGCTTAAGGGGCAAAGGAGAGAGAGAGAGAGAGGAATAATCACAGCTAGGAGGACCTGAAAAATGTGGTTTATTGGAAGCCAAATTCCTGCTCTGGTCACAGGATTTCCTACTCATGAGAAAGCCTTCTATTTTTCTCTGGCTGAAACATTAGTACCCTAGGTTTTACCACCAAAGACAAGTTATGGACATGAAAATATTTACAGATTCAACACAAAAAGCACTGGGCAGACTTTTCAGATGCATACTCTCGAGTTCTTACATTTATTTTTGTGTTTTATGACATCCACGTATTGAGTCTATATGTCAGTCACTTTACTTCTACTATCTCGAAGTTGAGAACAATCCTGTGAGGTAGGTATTAACATCCCTCACTTTATTAGTAAAAAACTTGAGGGTCAGAGAGTTTTGGCAATTGGCCAGAGGTTACAGGTGGAAAATGAGACACAGAATTCAGGTGCAGCTATGTCTGCCCATGTTTTAGTCACTCCAGCCCACTGTCTGTGATAGCATTGAGGCATAGGGTATTTAAAGAAGTATGTTTAGAAATTTTAACATTTTAAACCTGGAGTTGAAAGCACTGATTTTTCAATGAATTCATCTCAAGATAGTCTAGTTAAGGTTAAGGAATTTAAAAATATCCCCTAAAGTCTCTCCTAGTCTACGGTTCTGTGACATTATTTCATTTGTTTTGACTTAAGTAAAAAGAAAAGATGATCAATAAAATGCCCTTTCCACACGTAAGAACCACACTTAATGAAACGATTCATGTGAATCCATAGGCTTTGAAAACAATCTTTTTCTTCTATTGGAGGAATAAAGCCATAATGGGTTTTAGAAATTATGTATTTACTTAATAGATGCTTAGACACAAGGGGATGTTTGTAAAATTAAATTTCAGAAAAAAGTCTTAATGACACCACAAGAACATTTCTATAGTAATGTTAATCAAATACTATAGTATAGTAATCAAATAGCTTTGATGTATGGCTAGTCATTTCTTGCACAATGCAATGTGAGACTATTAGCTTCTATTTACTTAGCTATCAGCTAATCTAGTCATAAATATGAAATAAATCATTCAGAATAACTAAGGTAAATAAGGCAAAATATATTGAAAGAATAAAATATACTTAAAATAAATACATGTTTATAACTTGCTTCTCTGATAAACATACTAATATTAAAATGCATTCTTAGACTACATAAAGTGAATATGATTATTTCAACTCTGTTTTAATGGGTAACTGAAAATAATTATTAAAAATTGGTGCAAATTATGGAGGGGAGTGGGAGATACAGGCTTCCGGTTATGGAATGAATAAGTCACAAGAATGAAAGGTACAATATAGGGAATGTAGTCAATCAGGTTGTAATAGTGTTGTATGGTGACCAATGGTAGCTGCACTTGTGATGAGCACTGCATAATATATAGAGTTGTTGAATTACTATGTTGTACACCTAAAACTAATGTAACTTTGTGTGTCAACTCTCCTTCAATAAAAGAAATTGGTGCAAGCTAACTGACCAAGGATGGTGAATAGTTATTATGGCGTATTTATATTCCTACTTTTTAATGCTATACATAAACACCATAGAGAAAATGTATTTCGTACATGTGAAACATAATAATTCTTGTGGTTGCCTTATTTTTGTATTGATAGTAATTCAGATTTCCTCCCTACCTAGTTCGCTATTTAAAACATCATTTAGGGGGGCACCTGGGTGGCTCAGATGGTTAAGTGTCTGCCTTCGGCTCAGGTCATGATCCCAGGGTCCTGGAATCGAGTCCCTCATCGGGCTCCCTGCTCAGTGGGGAGCCTGCTTCTCCCTCTGCCTCTCTCTCTCTCTGTCTCTTATGAATAAATAAATAAAATCTTTAAAAAAAAATCATTTAGGGACATCTGCATGGCTCAGTCAGTTAAGCGTCACCTTCAGCTCAGGTCATGATCCCAGGATCCTGGGATCGAGTCCCACATCGGGCTCCCTGCTCAGTGGAGAGCCTGCTTCTCCCTCTCCCTCTGCTACTCCCCCTGCTTGTGTGCTCTCTCTCTGTCAAATAAATAAATAAAATCTTTAAAAAATAAAAAATCATTTAAATCAGAAAACTGCAACAAAATTCTGCGCCAGTTCTTCATTAGCTGAAGTTAGTTTATGTAGATCAACTTTCTATCAGAAAGCTTGTCTTGCTTTGCCCCTAGAAGGTGATCGTTGCCTACAAAATTTAAAAAATCCAAGGTTCTTTTTTTCTGCACCTGCCCTTTCATTTAAAATAAAATGATCTTTTGAAGTCATAAGATGCAGAGCTGAGGAGCGAGGATTCCAGAGCCCCACTGCCTGAGTTTGAATGCGAACCTGCCACTTCCTGATGATGGGCTCCGTGCAAGTATCGTGTCTCACGTTCCTTATCGGGATGACAGTAGCAGTACGTGTCTCATAGGACTGCTATGAAGAGAAAATAAACACATAACACACATAATGCCTGGAATACAGAAAACACTATTTAAATAGTCATTGTTACTGCACAACCTGTTACTCAATGGTTGTTATTGAAGTATAACATATCTGCAGAAAGGCATTCATATCACAAGTGTTTAGCTTACTGAAATGTAATAGGCTGACCAATCTTGTGTAAACAGCACATAAATCATGAAACAGAAACTAGTACCTGAAAAGTATGGAAACTAGTCCTCTTCATGCCCACTTCTGGTCACTACCCACTATCTAAGGGTAACCAGTATCCTGACTTCTGATTAGCTTCATTAATGACTACCTGTTAAGCCTTGATATTGCAGCAGTTAATAGGTATTTATTATGTTAGCATTTCATTTTTTTATTTAATATCCAAGACAAACCTACTTGCTGATGAACCTTTTAATATGTATAACAATAAATATACATAAATGTAATATATGATATATATATAAGATAATAATAACATATAATATTTTAATATATTTTGCTTCCTAGGTTGAAAAAGCTCCTTGAACAAGAAAAGGCTTACCAAGCCCGAAAAGAAAAGGAAAATGCTAAGCGGCTCAATAAACTAAGAGATGAGCTTGTGAAACTGAAGTCCTTTGCACTCATGCTGGTGGATGAAAGGCAAATGCATATTGAGCAACTTGGCCTCCAGAGCCAGAAAGTACAGGATCTTACTCAGAAACTGAGGGAAGAAGAAGAAAAGCTCAAAGCCATCACTTCCAAATCCAAAGAAGACAGACAGAAACTGCTCAAGTTAGAAGTGGATTTTGAACACAAGGCTTCGAGGTTTTCCCAAGAGCATGAAGAGATGAACGCGAAGTTGGCCAATCAAGAGTCTCACAACAGGCAACTTAGGCTCAAGCTGGTTGGCTTAACTCAGAGAATTGAGGAGCTGGAAGAGACCAACAAAAACCTCCAAAAGGCAGAGGAAGAACTTCAGGAATTAAGAGATAAAATTGCCAAAGGGGAATGTGGCAACTCCAGCCTGATGGCAGAAGTGGAAAATCTCCGTAAGCGTGTGCTTGAAATGGAGGGTAAAGATGAGGAGATCACTAAAACTGAATCCCAGTGCCGGGAATTGCGGAAGAAGCTGCAAGAGGAGGAACACCACAGCCGCGAGCTCAAACTTGAAGTGGAGAAGTTACAGAAGAGAATGTCTGAACTGGAGAAACTGGAAGAAGCATTTAGCAAGAGTAAATCTGAGTGTGGCCAGCTCCATTTAAATCTGGAGAAAGAGAAGAACTTAACCAAAGACCTGTTGAATGAACTGGAGGTGGTCAAGAGTAGAGTTAAAGAACTGGAATGTTCTGAAAGTCGATTGGAAAAGGCTGAATTAAGTCTAAAAGATGATCTTACAAAGTTGAAGTCATTTACTGTGATGCTGGTTGATGAAAGGAAAAATATGATGGAAAAAATAAAGCAAGAGGAGAGAAAAGTGGATGGACTCAATAAAAATTTTAAGGTGGAACAAGGAAAGGTTATGGATGTAACTGAAAAACTAATTGAAGAAAGCAAGAAGCTTTTAAAACTGAAATCTGAAATGGAGGAAAAGGTGTATAATTTGACAAAAGAAAGAGATGAGTTAATAGGTAAACTGAAAAGTGAAGAAGAAAAATCCTCTGAATTAAGCTGCAGTGTTGACTTATTAAAGAAGAGACTTGATGGGATAGAGGAAGTGGAAAGAGAAATAACAAGAGGAAGGTCTCGGAAGGGTTCTGAACTCACCTGCCCAGAAGATAACAAGATTAAGGAACTAACACTGGAAATTGAGAGACTGAAGAAACGCCTTCAACAGCTGGAGGTGGTTGAGGGGGATTTGATGAAGACAGAGGATGAGTATGATCAGCTGGAGCAGAAATTTAGAACTGAGCAGGACAAGGCCAATTTCCTCTCCCAACAACTGGAGGAGATAAAGCACCAAATTGCCAAGAATAAGGCAATTGAGAAAGGCGAGGCCGTGAGTCAGGAAGCAGAGCTGAGACACAGGTTTCGGTTAGAAGAGGCCAAAAGTCGAGACCTAAAAGCTGAAGTCCAAGCTCTTAAAGAGAAGATCCACGAATTAATGAACAAAGAAGATCAGCTTTCTCAACTCCAAGTGGATTATTCTGTCCTTCAACAAAGGTTTATGGAAGAAGAAAATAAGAACAAAAACATGGGGCAGGAGGTCCTCAATCTGACCAAAGAGTTGGAGCTTTCTAAGCGGTATAGCCGAGCTCTTAGGCCCAGTGTGAATGGAAGAAGAATGGTGGATATTCCGGTGACGTCGACTGGAGTGCAGACGGATGCTGTCAGCAGTGAGGCAGCAGAAGAAGAAACACCAGCAGTATTTATACGGAAATCCTTTCAAGAAGAAAATCATATCATGAGTAACCTTCGACAGGTGGGATTGAAGAAACCTATGGAACGATCCTCGGTACTAGACAGGTATCCTCCAGCAGCCAATGAGCTCACTATGAGAAAGTCTTGGATTCCATGGATGAGAAAAAGGGAAAATGGGCCCCCAATCACTCATGAGAAAGGGCCTCGAACAGATGCCAGTCCAGGGCACCCAGGAGAGCTGGTCCTTTCGCCAAAACAAGGCCAGCCCCTGCATATTCGAGTGACCCCAGACCATGAGAATAGTACTGCAACTTTGGAAATAACCAGCCCGACGTCTGAGGAATTTTTTTCTAGTACCACCGTCATTCCTACCTTAGGGAATCAGAAACCAAGGATAACCATTATTCCATCACCAAATGTTATGTCTCAAAAGCCAAAAAGCGGAGATGCTACTCTTGGCACAGAACGAGCCATGTCCCCAGTCACGATTACTACATTTTCTAGAGAGAAGACCCCAGAAGGTGGAAGAGGTATGTTTGCAGACAGGCCCACATCCCCCATTCAGATAATGACAGTGTCTACATCGGCAGCACCAGCTGAGATGGGAGTCTCTCCGGAATCCCAGGAAATGCCCATGGGAAGGACTGTCTTCAAAGTCACCCCAGAAAAACAGACTGTTCAAACTCCTCTACGGAAATATAATTCCAATGCCAATATCATAACCACAGAAGACAATAAAATTCACATTCATTTAGGTTCTCAGTTTAAACGATCCCCTGGGACTTCAGCTGAAGGATCGAGTCCAGTTATTACTGTCCGACCTGTCAATGTGACAGCTGAAAAGGAAGTTTCCACTGGTACGGTCCTTCGCTCTCCTAGGAACCATCTCTCGTCAAGACCTGGCGCTAGCAAGGTGACGAGCACTATCACCATAACACCGGTCACAACTTCATCTACTCGAGGAACCCAGTCAGTGGTGAGTAGAAGACACTCCCAAGTGTAGGCCGAGGGAGGGCGAAGTGAGTCATGAGAATCACCAGGGCCCAAAATGAAAGAAAAGCACATGCCTCTTGCTCTACCTGAGTCCACTAGCAGATGTTTCCTAGTGGACAAGCTACACCAAGAAATGAAAATAAAAACGGCCTGATATTTTAATAAATTGAACTAACTGGGGGGGGAATTTTCTTTTTTTTTCATATAAATTATGAAGGCCCCCCAAATTCTGGCAATGATGGCCTCTTCATAATATCACCATATGGTAATAATCAGGTTTAAAGTTTAATTTTTATATTTAAAATACTTTTAAAAATGAAGACTGAGAGAAATGGTCAATATGCAGGAAGAATGAAAACTGCTTCCTGGCTTACATTTCTATACCCTAAAATATTCAATATGTGGTTGTGTATGGCCATAGTCATATTTTTACCAAAATATTTTATTCCAAAAATAAGATTAAAAGATTTAAATATTAAAACCTATTTTTAAAAGTAAAAAACAAATGAGTCTGTATGTCTAAACACTACATTTTATTAATAATATCTTGCAGAGAGCAAGTGCCGGATAAATATTTATTTAATAACCAACTAGAAGGCTAAATGAATGATTACAAAAAAGTGTGTCCGAAGTATAAAAACCAGAGCTTAAAAATAAATTCTATTTTTTAAAAATACCTCCAGTGATTGTCTTCCTTTACCTGGGACAAACTGATAAATTAAATTATAAAAGAATGTGTACTATTTAGATTTTAATTTAAACCAACAGAATAGAAATTATGATTCTTAGACTCTGAACAAATTCTATAGCTTGTATTAGACACTCTTAAAGACAGGAAGCTTATTTTTAAGTATAGAAACTGTGGCTTATTCTCCCACATCCTCAATATAATTTACTTAAATTTTCTGTGCACCGGCATAGACTCAAGACAGACTTCAAAGTGTGAATTACTAATTGCTTTGCTAGTAAAGCTTTTCATGATTGACCCAAAGGAGCTGAATAGCATTCAGAATTGTTCACACATTTCAAATGGTTCAATATAATATTGCTTTTTAAGCAACACAGAGCACAGTTTGGTGTGCATGGTTACTTCTCTCTAATGATTTTTATAAAAAGATGGTGGAGGTGAAGTTGTTGTAATTTAGAGCAGATTTTCTGCAGCAACATCTTCTTCCCATTTTAAGGGTCAGATCAAAATAGCTTTATTTTCTTTGGTAACATTTTTGACTACTGATTAAACCCCATATACAAACAAGACTTCAAATAAGATTTACAAGGCCTAAAGGATGGCCCACTTACTCCAGATATATCAGATTCCATAAAGTCAAGGATGACAAAAAGTTTAGGACACCTCTCTTAGAAATTGAATAGCGAGGCTAGTTCATTTGTGCATTTATTCATCCAACATTTATTAAGTGTTTAGCTACACTCTGGGCACCGGGTTTGGTGCTGACTGCAAAGAGGACCTCAGAAGTACCCAGCTTAGCAGGAGAGGCAGGATTGGAACCTACCCAATCGGGACCTACCCTCCAGTAGTTCTCTGATACACTGTGTGTACAAAGGAACCCACCAGAGGAGGCTTCCCAGAGGAGGAAGTTTTCACAGATAAGGAGAGATTTTTTTTAAGAAGGAAAAGGGAAGGCGTATGTAGAGAGAACAATCTGTGCAAAGGTATGGCAATGTGAAGGAGCCTGCCATATTTGGGGAACGGTGAGCATTCCCACTGTGCTGCAGCCGTTGGGTGCAGAGACAAAATGCGAGAGCAGAAAATAGAGAGGCAAACTGGGGTCAGATATTGAAGAGAGGTGCACGGCTTATTACGAAATTGACCTTTAATCTCATGGGATAGACAGAGGGAGCCATTGAAAGGGCGTTGATGATAGAAGAACGACATGATTTATGTGTTAGAAACATATGTCTATAAAATAGTTTAAAGCATAAATTGGAGGGCACAAAGACGGAGGGCAGGGACACTGTTGCAATTCTCTAGGCTAGAGATGGGGTAGGCTTGAACTGCGGTTGTGAAAATGAGGACAGAGTTGTATTGAAGATAGGATCAAAGATTTCGTGACAATCTGCGTATAGAGAGTGGCTCTGGGGTTTCTGGTGTGGCTGTATGGGTAGATAGGATGAGAAACATAGGGGGACTACTGTTTGGGGAGAAGATAAGTCATGTTGGGGGCATTTATATTTGAGATGCCTGAGAGACTGTGGAGATGTCTGGCAAATAGTTGGAAATGTACATGTGTATTCCAGAAGATCACTGGAGGCTCGAGGTCCTGGGACTCATCAACACATGGGGTGACAACTGAGGTGATCATCAAGGTGAATGTGGAAAATGAAAAGAGAGCTGAGGATGGAGCATGGTGACACCCACATTTAGAAGAAAGGCAAGCTAGGCCAAGGAGCCAACAAGACATTGGATAGGAGTCATCAGAGACAGGAGGCGAATGGGTGAGACTCCAGTAAGAACATATCACAGCGAGAGAGTTTTAGGAGAACTTCAAGAAGAAGGGTATGGCCAGCAGTGACGGGAAAAATGAGAAGAGTCTGGCATCATTAAGAGGCGAGGGGAGAGCTGCTTCATCTAAAGAAAGTAGAGATAATTTGGGGGACAGTGGGAGTAAAGTTGCCTGAGTTGATGCCAGGTGGCTGTATTTTCTCTGTGAAGTAGGAGTTAAGGTCGCTTCAGGAAGGGTAGAGGAAGCAGGTCAGGGGCTTGAGAAAAGGAGGAGGTCTGGCGTAGATGTTTCAGGACAGCGAAGAGGAGGCAGTCAGCATGGATGAGATCCCAACTCCACGTTCCTAACAGTGTTACCTGGGGAACGGTCATCCGTGGGCATTCCTGTCCTGCTGATGTTCAGGTTGATGGCAAATCCGGGCGGAAACTCACCGACATCTCCCTTGTGTCTGTCTCTCCTCTCTTGCAGTCAGGACAAGACGGGTCATCCCAGCGACCTACCCCCACCCGCATTCCTATGTCAAAAGGTATGAAAGCAGGAAAGCCAGTAGTGGCAGCCCCAGGAGCAGGAAATCTGACCAAATTCGAGCCTCGAGCTGAGACTCAGTCTATGAAAATAGAGCTGAAGAAATCTGCGGCCGGCAGCGCTACCTCTCTCGGAGGGGGGAAGGGCTGAGGGCAGTGGCTGAGGGGGTATGTCGTGCCAATGCTCCTGCTGCCATGAACACCGACCTTCATCTGTTTGTGCCACCTCCTTACGTGCACTAACCTCCGTTTTAAAGATCTTGTTTATAAAGTAATCCACTAATAGCCATGTGTCTTTCCTATTTTGTAAATGTGTTTCGATGCCAGAGAAAAGAACGAACTAGCAGAACTGCTGCTTGCTGGCTGCTCTGTTGAGGATGCCGGGCCTGGGGCAGGGCTGACTTCTAGTCCCATTATTGCTTCTAGAAAGTGGGCCCGGCGGGTAGCCCGCCTGAGCCTCGGTCTCTTGATGTCAGTAAGATATGGGGGCTGGGTCTCATCCTCTCCAGAGCCAGATCCCATATTTCCTAATTGTAAATCAAATTTAATAGGCCTTGTTCCACAAGAATTGATTTTTCAGAAATTCTATTATGAAATAGGAAATAGCTTAACAGTTGTCATTTGCCTCTATTAAATCCCGAATTTGCTTCATGTGCTGGAAAAAAACATCTCCTAGCTATCACAGGGCCTGGACCCTTAAAGTTTTGCAAAAACAAAAGCCTCTGGGATGATTTCAGGAAATAATTTGAATGTGAAATAAAATGGAAATGAAATATGGATTCCTAAAAACAGAGTTTTACTTATTTGTGTGTGTCTGTGTGTATTATAGGGGTTTTGGCCATCTCCAAAACATTCCCAGAATTTTATGGACAATAATTTTTGAACCATTAATGTCAAACTCATGCTCTATTCAAGTGTGCAATTGATTTAAATTATGGAGCCGTTTGAATAGAGCTGCCAAATGGCCCTTCTACCCATTACAACCTCAACCAAGGTTGTAATGGATAGAAAATAGAAGAAAGTAATTGGGATACATTAACGCCAAGAAAAAAAATGACATCATGCATAGCTTAATTGAATTCAAATATTTTCCTCAGTTGAGTGTGGACTTTACTTGGAAATATAGAACTAGTTCATGAGTGTGTGTGTGTGTGTGTGTGTGTGTGTGTGTGTGGTGTGGTGTGGTGAAGTGAATTATTATTCCTGTCAGTTTTACTTATCTTTGTATCATTTTCATTCATTTCAAGCATGTTTTAATAAGCATGAAACTGTGAATGCAAAATGCCAGGTGTCTTTGTGAGATTAACCATGTTATTGAAGTGGACATTGTGCTTCCTGTCAAATAACCACAAATGAGCTCAAGGCTAATAACCCGCAGCTTAGCATCTGAGATCTCGTGTAGGCAGCACCTTTGTCAAAACTCTTAAGCCAATTGAGTGAACTTTATAAAAATACAATAACTACAAAGTTACAGGTTGTTATTTTTCCACTTCTGAATTGTGAGAATTCCAAGATTATTTGGATAGTCCCTGCCTCTGATATTTGGGGAAAGATAGTTGTTCTTTAAAAAAAAAAAGATAGTTGTTTTTTTTTAAAAAAAAAATATGATTTAGCTTTAATCATCAAATCATCAAGCTTTGTGATAAAGAGGCTCTTCTCTGAGTTCTTTCCACACTGGATTTCCTAGCTCTTGTAGAACTTGGACTTCAATCGGATATGACGGTGGTGGATGCCTTGCAGAATTCATATTCTTTTTAATCAGGTCTCTATTGCCTACAGCTCATCAGTTCTCAGCATATGTATTAAGAGATGTTGAATAACCGTAGGAGACATGCTATAATAGTGGGATTTCAAGGTAGAAGGAGAGAGACTGAGAAAAAAGATTTTATAAAATGTGATTTTGAACAAGTGTAAACAAGAGATCTTTCCATTTCCAATATTGACTTGCCTATTTTTAAGAGGAAATTTTCCCCTTTTGTAAAGTACACATCCATCCCTTGGACAAACAAAGACATTCTCTGTTTTTCAAATGCCTCCTTGGCATTGAGAGTATTTAGTGCTACTGTGATGTAACATACTGTATGTGAGCAGTGTCAAAAGAAGGAGACACTGTGCTCCTCCTGACTCTACCTGTCATTCTCCAGTGACTTTTATCACAATCTATTGTCACCGCTGCTGTCTTTTGCTGTTCCCTGCTCACAACATGCTTATGTCGTTTCTGCCGGGAAGTCCATACCATCTGCAGGGAGAGTGCTCTGAGGGGCTGAACAGTGCGTGTACAGGATGTTTATACATCTGGATGCTGGAAGAGAGCCACCTACGAAGTACAACTGCTAAGAGAACTTGGCAGAGCAACACATATTCACTTTTCAGAAATGGTAAAGAGCAGCCATGGCAGTTTTTCTTTGTAATTTTAGAACCAACTCTACATTTATTGGATAGCTTTGGTTTAAACCACATATTGGAAATGAAATCCACTGGGGATAGGAAGTGGAGGATTAAATGCACTCCAATTCCAGCTTCTAATTGTGAGGATGATGTTTTCGTGATGCAGCTTAATGTGCTTTTATAAGAGTGAATGGGATTAAAAGCTAGAGTCTTTTCCCTGTCCTGGAACATAGCATCGTGCAGTAAAAGGGCTCACCAAGGCTGCTGTGTATAGCTGTTGCTCAGGTCCCACCCAAGGCAGGGGAGGGAGGGCCATTTCCATAGATTTCAATGGGGTGGCTCCCCCTGGGGGTGTGCAGGGCATAATCTGTAGGCTACAGAAGCCCTGGGCTTCCCCTCCAGAGAGGAATTTTCATGGGTTGACTATTTCAGCACAGTATGGTGGTGGCCATTTAGCATGTGTGGTACGAGAAGTGTTCCTGTATGGGACATGACCCTAAGGGTGTTTATCCTTTCTTGAAAATAACCTTCCTGTCTAGGTCACTTGCTTAAACAGAGTCCTTCGGTTTCTACTGGCATTTTTATTATGTTTTCAATGAGGGCAAGCGAATGGGTGGCAACTAGACTCTAGAGATGTTCGTGTATTCATTAAGGGTAGGTCTTACTAGATGTCTCACTTGAACGTCTTCAAGAAAGAAGGGAAGGGATGCCTTTGATGTGTAGTGTGGGAAGAGTGTAGCTTCAGGGAAATGAAAACATGTCCAAGAATATAGGATGTACAAAGATTTGAATTTCTCATTCCCTCAGAGATTTGGAACACTGAGGAAAGCATGAGACTTTCCTGATCAGAAAAGCCCCAGGGACATTAGATAAGAAGAAGGCACTTAGGTGGGAGGCTGGAGGGCAGAGAGAAAGGAAGAGGTAACAGGTTGGGCACAGAGGGGCTTCCCAGTAAACAGGAACATACAATTCCAAAATTTCCCCAACCTGGATGAAGTTCAGTGTTGCCCTCCTACCTCCTCCTCCATCCTCCAGGGTCTCATGATTGCTTATGTTCTCATCCTCGGCTATTTCAGTTTCTCCTTTTTATCTGACTAGTTGCACACAGGATATAAATGTGCTCCGGACTCTTCCATTTGAGCACAATTCCTCCCTCAGCTGCTCAGTCCTCTCTAGGGGCTGCCGGTTAAGCCACGGACAGAACACTTGACCTTTTCTGCCTCCACTTCTACATTTCCATTTATTCTTCAACTTGCTCTTTAAATTTTTATTAAATACGGAGTTAAACTATCAGCCAGCACTAAAAGAAAATGAAAACAGCTGTTCCTGATCTCACCCCTCTTTTCCCTCAGTCTGACTCCCAGGAGAAAATCATTCCTAACCCTTAACTGTTTCTTCTGATATTTGTCTACATATTTCTAAATAATATACTTGTACTCTTTATTTATCAATCATTATTTTTTTCAAAAAAGATTTTATTTGTTTATCTGAGAGAGAGAGAGAAAGAGAGAGCACGAAGTGGGGGGAGGGGAGGAGGGAGAGGGAGAAGCAGACTCCCTGCTGAGCAGGACCCTGAGATCATGACCTGAGCAGAAGGCAGACGCTTAACACCGAGGTACCCCTTTCCTTTATGTTTTGATGGTTGAGGATGTAGCACTCTCGCATGTCCCCTCTTTCCCTTTTCCCCATCCTCCCAATATGATTACAACACAAATTTTTTGATAAATCATCAGTCAGCATTTATATATTTATAAGTTTACAGTGTAAATTTAAATGTTGTTCCCTGTTGGGGTGCCTGGCTGGCTCAGTTGGTGGAGCTCACGACTCTTGATCTTGGGGTTGTGGGTTCAAGATCACGTTGTGGGTAGAGATTACTTAAAAATAAAATCTTAAAAAAAATAAAAAAATATTGTTCCTGCTGAGCCAAATAGTATACCATGTTTGTGTTCCCTTCCTCTTACTCCTTTCACCCTTCAATAGAATAAGTATTGTAATTTTTCATCTGCTTGGTTTTCTATGTATCTATCTTTATTTTTTCCAAATGCTCCAATAGATCTGCCAAACACCTATCAGTAATTTTTCCAAACACTTAAATACGTCAGTTTCTTATTTTTACCTGGAGGCTTTCCTAGTTCAGCTCCTTAGTTTCCTATGTTAGCCCTCTGCTTCCCTACTTAGTCTGGACTGGTCATGCTCTAGGCCAGGTAAGGCTCTTGTCCTATTGTTCTTTTGCCTAAGTTGAATCCTCTGTTCCCTGGATTTCTTCTTCTACTTCTTTTGCTTACACACCTGTCTGTATATCTATCTCTCTTGAAGTACATTTGACCCCTGAATAACATGGGAGTTGATGGTGCTAACCCCCAGCACAGTGTAAATTTTGACTCCCCCAAAACTTAACTACCAAGAGCCTACAGTTGACTGGAAGGCTTACCAATTGCATACACAGTCAATTAACACATACATCATATGTTACATGTATTATATATTGTATTCTTACAGTAAAGTAGAGACAATAAAATATTAAGAAAATCACAAGGAAGATAAAGCACATTTATAGTATATTTGTATACTGTATTTATTGAAAACAATACTGTATTTATTGAATTACTGTATTTATTGTAAACAATCCACATATAAATGGACCTGCACAGTTCAAACTTATGTTGATCAAGGGTCAACTATATATCTTTTAGGAGTTTCTAAAGAAAAAAATCCTTCAGTAACTTCCTTGGGGTGGGCTACCTGTATTCTGGGGATAGATCAAGGGAAGTGAGATGGAGAATCTTACAGTAAAGTGTGCAAACATTTTTATTCCCCTGCACTCAGTCTATGCTGACCATTCATATACTTGGGTCTAGTAGAACTGCTTAGGTCAGTTTTTTTGTTTGTTTGTTTTTCCTGGAAAAATAAACCCTGGGTCTCTGGTAAGGGTGACTAAGACATCTAATCTCTTTTGGTTTTCCTTTGATCTCTCTGACCGCTCCACCTTGGTCTCCCTTGCTGACACCTTATTTTATGCATACAATCTAAGGGTCACTGTTCCCCTCATCTCTGCCAGTTACCTACACTACACGCTCATTTTATGCACTCCCATAGCTTCAATTATCACCCATATGTTGATGGCTACCAATCCTCTATCTCCAACTTTGTACTGTATATCTCCAACTTAACTTGTCTAAAAGCAGTTCTCAACACCTCCTCCAACCCTCGTCAAGTCTTCTCCTCCTCTTACTATTCTGCATCTCAGCAAGGGTATCCTGATCTACCCAATCACCCAAGCAAGAAGCCTGGTAGCCATTTTAGGCCTCTCCTCCTCCTTCACCTGTCAAGTCCACTCATCAAGCAAGTCTCATAGTCTAACCCCCTAATGCCTCTATCAGCTGAACCCACATCTCCATTTTCCTTGCTACTGCCTGAGTTGAGGTTTTAATTACTTCTCATCTGGATTACTCCAATATGCCCCCTAATTGGTCTCATAATCTCTAGCCTCAAAACTCTCAGATTCATTCTTCATTTTGTTTTCCAAAGTTCAAATTGATTGTATCACTCCCCTATTTGAAAACCCTCCAAAGGTTCCTCATTACCTATAGAACATAGCACCAACTCCTCCATATGGCCCTTGAGGCTCTCTGTGACTGGGCTCTCTCTCTCTCCCTGCTCTATGAGCATCCCTCCCCTTTCCTTTTCCGTGCCTGGACTCCTGCCCCCCAAGCAGACCGAATGGCTTGCATACCAGGCCAGGTCACCTTTCCTTGACTTGTTCACTTTGTCCCTTCTCCCTACTTTTCCTTCTGGTGGTTGTGTCTATCTCTGTTCAAAATTTCTTTCAAAAACCTTGTCTCTACTAGAGAGAAAAGCCATTATTTCACAATCTAACCTGGGGTTTAAAGCCTGTCTGTTTCTGTAAAAAACTTGGCACTTACTGTAGAGAAAGAAAACCAGAACTTGAAGGATGGCTGGAGGCTAGAGAAGAAAGAGTTATTCTCATTTCTCGCTTCCTCCCTTTGTCTGCAATGCAAACCTGTGAGAATGATGTGGAGGGTCCTGACAAATCATGCGTGGGAACATGGAAATAAAAAGATGGTAAAATTAGAGGAAATTCACGTATCACCATTCTGGATAGTGTAAGTTACATCTTTCCCTTCCAAGGCACTATAGGCCCATAATGGGTGCAGAACAGCCAGGGATCCTGGACTGAGGAGTTGTCATCTCTGAAGCCATCACATATGTGGAGAACTAAGGGGGTTGAGAGCTTTCTGTGACATACAAACATACTTGAATGAATTATGAATTGCTCTTTCCTCACCCTCTTTAACTCCCCTGGAGGGACATGAAAGACACTTCTGGAAAGAGAAAATTTCAAGTGATTTATCATGCTCTTCAGGTTCATGAAGGACCTTCTACAATAGGTCAGGGGGCACCTGGGTGGCTCAGTCGGTTAAACGTCTGACTCCTGGTTTTGGCTCAAGTCATGATCTCAGGGTCGTGGGATCAAGCCCTGCATCAGGCTCCATGCTCAGTGAGGAGTCTGCTTGAGATTCTCTGTCTCTGCACCTTCCCCCCACCCTGCTCACATGCTCTCTCTCTCTCTCAAATAAATAAAATCTTTTAAAAAAAATAGGTCAGGAGAGGCTCTTGTTTTGAAAAACCAAACACCACCACCAATAAGCAGACTTCAGATTTAGGATAGATATTAAGGTGAACATCCAGAGAAAGTGGATTGCTGAACAATGCCTAGATACCTGAGCTAGAACTGAAAACCAGGAGACCAGAGTAAGGTTGTGTGACCTTTGGCAAATCGCCTTACTTTGACTTATGGTTTAGCATTTAGCTATAACCTTTTATGATTCTGGCATTCCTCCTTATAGTCATAATATGATAGGCTTCACTATTTAGTAAGCAACTTAAAACATTCTACCATAACACTTTTCCTAAGAACTAGTAAATAATTGCTTATCTGGCAAATATAGTTTTGGCCTCTCTACGTGTGCTAATGTTATGTATGTATGATGGTCAGAATTGCAAAATCAAGGGCTGGTAACAGCTGAACCAGACTTTAGAGGTCAAGAAGATAATTATCTCTCTTATTAAAGATGAAAACAAAACCAAGACCAAGAACAAAACAAGAAAGCCCCAAGGCTTAGAGATGTCTAACCATCTTACTAATGATGATGCCAGATTTTCTGTACATTACTCATTATTTCATATGATGAAACAACTTCAGGTAAGCAAAGTATATATTCATATATAGACTAAAATACCCACACGTATTGGGCCAAAATAATACTGCCAAAGGATTTTGAGATATTAAGATATCTACATAGAAACTATATGTGTCAAAGTTATCATAACAGTACTTTGATGAATATTGTTGTCCTTATCTAAAAAGCACAAGGCCCTTCCCAACTTTCACATACAATGTTATTTTCCACGTGATTTTGTGGCCAGCCATAGACTGAGACATAGACTGAGATCAACGCTAGGCATTTAGCATCTGTGTCCAAAAGGGTAGAACCTAAGCATTCTTGGCTCAAATAGTTAACTATTTTTCCACTGTTGAGTTCCTATTTATAGTTAATGTTATATGTGGGATGATAATTAGTTCCAATTTGCTTGTATCTGGAAACAGTGAACTATTTGAGAGATAAGGATTAGCTTGCCTAAAAAAGAAGTTACCAGTCATAACTGATTATTGGTAATTCCTGCAACCTGTAGAGGTAAGGGGATGATTTGGGCTGATGATGGAGTGGGAAATGTTTTGGAAGGAAGCAAATAAACTATTAGAAGGTTGAGAAACCCCAAGAGAGTGTATATCATCTGGGTCAAAAGTTTCCTGAAGCAAATGACAGAACTGATTAGTGGAAGTATTTTTAATTAGCTGAGCTGAATCCAAAAGAGGGAATACAAGTCCAAGTCAACAGAGGAAGTTTATTGGACTTCCTATTTAAAACAGATGTTTTATCAGGACTCTGATTAATTTCTGAATGTAATAATAACGGGACTGAATACCAAAGCAGTTTATTAAAATGAGAACCTTAAAAGTAAATAGTATCTAGGCATTCCTACTTCTTTCTAAAAGGTCTAGGACATTTTTGCAGGTGAATAAATGACTCTGTGGACAACATATTAAAGCTGGGGTTTAGTAGCTAGTGGAGAGGAAGAACAACACAGCTCTAAGCCTGGGCACTGCCTTTCAGGCAGAGCCCATGGGGAGTAGGGAGGCATGGAACCCGGAAAGCAGGTCATAAGCCAGCCAAACTGATGCAAAATCCAAGAGGAAATGTTTTCTGTATAATTTGGTATGCAGTTTCCTGTGTATGAAATAGACTTCCTTTGTGGACGCAAAGTCCTACTATAAGTTGAACTTCTACTCTCTTAGTCTTCAGGGTGTGAGCTTAAAGGCTATCTATTAAAGTGATCTTGTCTCATTTACTAGAATAGATTTTTAAAATTCAGAGCTCAAGTGTCCCCTTGCAGAGAGTTTGGCAGAGTATAAGCATATGTATTGCTTGGGAGGAAGGCATTGACTTTCCAGGGAGTACATCTTTCCGACTCCACAGCCAAGGAGCTCTCCTGGGAGGAACCAGACTCACAATTTGTTGCCATGTTGCCCCACTCTAGCACTTGAGAGTCTCCCCCAAATTTCTCCCCAAATCCCAGCTTACATATACAACTTTGGATCTCAAGTCATCTGGCTGGCCAGTAGTTTTGGGTTACCACCAAAGGAGGATGAATAGTAAGGTCAGAAGTCAAGTATAATTAGGAATTGATAATATGTTAAATTTCCTTTCTGTGGACCATTTGCTAAGAGCTAGTGTACTAAAAGAATGAATTCATATTATTGTGAAGCATCATTTCACAATAATATCATAATCACAAATAATGTATTAATGTGTTATCCAAAGTTTCTTAAGGAGAAAATATCAAGATAACACTTGAGAGGAACATACAGAGGAAAGTGTAAGTACTTTCAGTAAACTGTTAATGTTAGAAATACATAAAAACCCAATGTCCCCATATGTGTATGCTGATTAAGATTTAGAGGTTTTTCCTTCTTCCAATTAGGAAAAAAGAAATGATGTTCTTAAATGTTTGCACATCAGAGAGCCCTAAATTTAAGTGCTTTGCTATTTTGAGTTTGCTTATAGAGGTGGAAATTAACTATGGCCTTTGGTCTCAACCTGCCTGTTACATACTCTACAAATTACTAATATCAGAAAAATGGTAATTGTAAAAAGAGAAAAGTTAATAGAAAATTATACCTGATTTTACTCAGGTTACTTTAGAGGCCCCAAATAACCTATATTTGGGTCTTATTTCTGAGATGAAATGAAGACAGAGTAAGAAATGGAATAAGATTTGCTCACTGACTTTGCAACTTCAGTAAAATTTATAAATTATTTTATTGTATTAAACCATAAAAAAAAAAGCCAGGGAGAAACTTGGAAACTCTGCCCCCCTTTTTTTTATTAACATATAATGTATTATTTGTTTCAGGGGTACAGGTCTGTGATTCATCAGTCTTATACAATTCACAGCACTCACCATAGCACATACCCTCCCCAATGTCCATCACCCAGCCACCCCATCCCTCCCACATCCCACCACTCCAACAACCCGCAGTTTGTTTCCTGCAATTAAGAGTCTCTTATGGTTTGTCTAACTCTGCCCTTTAAAAAAAAACTTAACTAATGGCATAATCCCTGAAGCATTTTTTTTTTTTTGCCAGCAACCAAGGACTCTGTATGCATCAGACAGTTTTGCTGTGTAATGAGTCACCTCAAAATCTAATGGCTTAAAGCAAAATTTTTTCTCTCTCACAATTTTGTATATTGGCAGGGTGATTCTTTTCTGAGTCAGCTTACAGATTTGGGGAAAACATAGATAATAAGCAAGCATAGATTTAATAAATATGTTTAATAAGTTTCAATTAAAATAGATCTTCTATCATATAGATCTTTTCTCACAATCTCTGGAAACAAGGTGAACTATGTCTCCATGTGTATAAAACAAAATAATTTGGGTTTAATTGTATTCCTTTAAATAAAGTTTATGTGTATAAATATGAAATACCCTCTTTTTAAAAGGATTTATTTATTTATTTGAGAGAGAGAGAGAGAGCACACAGAGGGAGAGAGAGAGAAGCAGACTCCCCGCTGAGAAGGGAGCCCGATGCAGGGCTCTATCCCAGGACCCTGGGATCATGACCCGAACTGAGGGCAGACGCTTAACTGACTCAGCCACCCAGGTGCCCCTGAAATACCCCCTTTTATTATTAAAGTAGAATAAAATAAACTGTTAATATTGTCAAGTATTTTTGAGACAATCTTTTTAATAATGCAATCTGATTAGAGGCACCTGGGTGGCTCAGTCAGTTAAGCATCTGACTTCAGCTCAGGTCATGATCTCAGGGTCCTGGAATCCAGCCCCCAGTTGGGTTCCATGCTTAGCGGGGAGTCTGCTTATCCCTCTCCCTCCCCCCTGCCCCTCCCCCAGCTCGTGCTCTCTCTCTCAAATAATAAAATCTTTAAAAACATTTTAAGAAATAATGTAATCTGATTAATAGCATTAATATATATACATATATGTATATATGTATCATGTAATATTACAAGCTTGCTAATTTAAATATAATAATAATAATAATAATAAAATGAACGGTTCAATGAAGATATTGTTTCTTCTATGTATGGACCCAATTACTGAAAATTCTGAATTCTGAAAATTCTAATTCTGAAAAGTTATTATGATTATGAGGATTGCAACATGTTAAGATTAAGGCAACTCTAGGAATTTAGAGGTTTGCATACTCAAAGTGAGAGTAGTAACACAAAATGTTAGCATTGCAAGGCACTTTAGAGATGATCTCTAATACCCTCATTTTGTGGTAAGGAAACAAATGCTTGCCCATTCTGAATTACATCTAGAATAAGAACAATTCTGGATTTCACTCTTTTTTTTTCTTTCCTTTTTTTCCTTTTTTGAGTAGCCAACACAGGGCTTGAACTCACAACTGAGAGATCAAGAGTCAGACACTTAACTAACTGAGCCACCCAGGCACCCCAGGAATTCACTCTTTTAAATTTAAGTTCTCTATGCTTTCTTAAGGGAGGAAAATGGGGAAGATACTTTAATTCTATTAGGGAGACTTGAGATCTATTGACTCTTCGAAAACTATTACTGAAATTTTAAAAAAGAAAGTGTTGAGTGGGAAGTGGCATTTGAATCTTAGATCCTGATCTTTAAATGCATAATATTTTAACTAGTGTTTTTAGTTTTTGCCTGAATATTTTGATATATTTTTTGGTGTTGAAAAAATTTAGAGCTATAACAATTTTTCATTGAGAAAAATGAGTTGATTTTTAAGGGTTTGTAGTATTGCCAAAAATCATATGTATGTCTTAGAAGCATTACAAAACCTTCATATTAAGTATATAAAACCTTTATGTATTTCATTTTACTTTGCTTTGCTGTTTTATCCCAAATTCAAATCAAAAGGTCGAGGGAAGAAATGGAAATATCGCCACCTAGTGGTCAGCATGAAGTGAAGTAAAGTTAATAAACCCAAATTAAGAAAACTTTGAGAAAGGACCATCCACAGTACATAATTAGCACAAATCTATAGGTCTATGATGTAATATGCTTTAATTAATGTTTATTTAGATGTTAACTACTTAAGTAAAAATAAAGTATAAATATTAATTATTTGAAATTAAAATGAAAATAATAGGTGGAAATTTCCTCATGTTATTGATAAACCCGTCATTAGTTTCTATACTTACAACACTGCCATGTATTGTCAGGGAGGTAATACATTTTTCAGGTGAAGAAACCATCTGAAGCTTAGTTATTTCTTTGCTTTGTTCTTTATAATCTCAACAATGACAGGACTCTTTCTCGTTTTGATCACTTATGTAGTTCCATGCCTAGCACAGTGATGGGCTGTAGGAGAGCCTCAATAAGTAGTCCTTGATTGAGAGAATGAAAAAAAAAATGATACATTTTCATGAAGGCATAAAGGTTAAGGTAAAAATGAAATCAATCAAATACATACAAATATCATACACCCATAACATGGCTGGTACTATCTCAGTATATATATTTTTTACTTTTATAAGAATGAATTTAGATTTAAAAGCATATACATAAGGGGCGCCTGGGTGGCTCAGCTGGTTAAGCATCTGCCTTGGGCTCAGGTCATGATCCTAGGGTCCTGGGATTGAGCCCCACCTCAGGCTCCCTGCTCAGCAGGGAACCTGCATCTCCCTATCCCTCTGCCCCTCCATCCTGCTTGCATTCACTTTCTCTTGTTCTATCTCAAATAAATAAAATCTTAAAAAAAAAAAAAGGGCATTCACATAATTTTGCAAAAAGAAGCAGTCCAAGATAAATGTGAATCATCTGTGTTTAGTGACTTAAGAACAATGAATATTTCCTTATTAAAACTCAAATCCACACACATAAAAAAAGAAATTAAAAATATGTGAATATTGCTCAGATTAGAAAGAGTATGACTGGAGTAATAGAGTTACTTCTAGAAAATAGTCTGGTTTCCCAGTATGGGGTTTATTATGTAGTAATTAATGTCCTTGTGTTCAGTTCTTTCCTTGGGTAAAATCCACCTAAAATTATTAGAATATTAAACATTGTTATCTAAAAGACTTTAAGAATCTTGGAAATAAAGCACATATGTCAATATAAAGAAATTACCCAAGAATAGTGAGGAACTGCAGGGAAAGCTATTGGGCTCATGTACCTGTTTCTGTTTGTTTTGTTGTTTAACATCTACAGTCTTTTAGTGAAATGATGTGGTATTGATCTTCACAGAAACTACTGATTTTTCAGTTTAATTGAAAATGCTGTATCTTTCTTTTCTTTATAGAAAGCATCGTCATTCACCAGTTACGTATGAACTCCAGATGAAATGGTAAACCAAGCACATACTGGGTGTGTGTACTTCCTCTGAATCCCTGTTAAATGAGTAGTATTTCTACAGCCCTCCATCATCACTAAGGTCCTCCATGCTACTGATCACTACTGGAAATAATTTTCTACTTCCAGTGATTTTTTTTTTTTGAGGATATAATAATGTAAAAGCTGAAAATGGCATTGCTGATAATATGAAAATAGGTAGCAAGAGCAATTCAATCTTTGTGTCAAAATAAATTTCTCTTCCTTTTACAAAGCTTTTAGGTTCATGGGCACATGCTATGTAATTTATTTTTATAATACACTTTATAATGTGATTTTTTTCCTAACGTGTTTCCTTTTTCATAGTCTATGGCACATATATCTATAGAGTACACTGTCAGTTCTTCAAAGTATTGGTACTGGTGCATTCAAAACGGGAACCTATCATTATTTTCCTTCATCACTTTTTTATTTCTGAGGGAAAAGAAAGTACAACACTCTGCATATTTCCCGGGGTAAATTCAGGAGATAAAACAGAAGCAGGAGATTCTAGAAGAGGTTTTATTATTGTTTGTACAATGCTGTGATTCTGATCATGGTTCAACAGTAATAAATAATGTTGATGTAAGAGTTTAATTTTAAATACGTAAAGCCAGTTTTTAAAGTTGCCCTATCTAGTGTTCTGTGCCAAAACCCCTGGATAAATTGAATTTCATATGGAACAAATTAATAAAAGGAGATATGTAAGTTTAACCAGTAAGGGTTATGGGAATAGCTTCGACTGAGAGTTCAATTATATTTCTGTGTGCATTGTTTGCTTATATGTACAAGACTTATAATAAGGACTGTGTATCAAGATATTTCTCACAATCTGCCCAAATGAAAGCCCAAAAAATAAAAAACTGACCTAGGTAATATCTGCATCTTTCAAAAAAAAAATGGTAAGAGAAATCCCATGATAGATAACATTTTTTTTCTTAATAGACAGGATTTGGATAGATTTTCATAACAGCATGTAGGTTGCAGAATATATTCTTTAAAGATAAAAGCACAACATGCAATACTCAACTCTCAGCATCAGAGCTGCTGTTGAATTTAGGTTTATATGAAAATGTGCATCTAAAGTCTACTTGAAACCCTAATAACACAGGTTTTTAAAAAGACTTTGCTAATGTGGACATGTTTTCAATAAGGTCTTTAAAAAGATAACTTTAAAGATAAATGAAGAGTTGACATATCAGTTTCTGAATGCAGAAATCATATATGATGGAACTTTACCAAGATTAAAGAAAATGCTTCTGAGTGTCACATGGATAACTGAAAACCAAGCAAGTAACACTGTTGGCCCATTTCTCCAGCTGACAGTTTGTATTCAGGTTACAAACCCATAGAGACAAGTCTACATTGAGTCTCTGGAATAGAAAAATTAATTGAATGTCCTCTCCTATGTAACTTTGGAAGGTTTTAAGTTATACTTTGTGGAATTAGCAATCATATTTGGCAGATTATAAATTAACTATATTTTATGGAAAATTAGTTTGATTTTGTAAGTAAAAGAAATGCTACAGTAGGCTTGTCCTAGCTTGAATGATTGTCGATGTATCACATATCTTTCAGGGGTTTTGATTAATGATTAAGAAAACTAGAGTGTGTATGTGTGAAAATTTAAAAAATTGTTGCTATGAGTTTTGTTTTCTGAAAATGTTTCTGAACTGTAATGACATTTTCAAGTAGAAAAGGGTTTTTATCTTGTATTGTTATCTTTTTTGACACACAGTTAAGTTCCCTGTTTGCCTATGTTTATACTTCTGATGGCAAAATATTCTGATAAATCACAAATTAGCATTTGAAGAAAATAGCTTTTTCTCAACTTCTGGGAATTTTAGTACATGAATAGTGAAAAGGCTAGAGGATAAGACTTTACTTCTTGACTTTAAGATATTACAAGTGATTTATGTCTATTTGGATCTGAAGCTTTTATTTCTCTTGAATTTGTAATGAAATTTGGTACTTGCAATGCAGAGTAAGGATGGTGGTGCTATCTGAGTCACTTAGATGGATGCTGAGCTTTTTTCTGCTCATGCTGGGATTAAGTCCTCTGTTTAAACCCAAATGGAATCTGAGTGACAAATGAGTAAAATTAATAAAGAATAAAAAGTTAATTGTTCTGAAATAAAAGATTAAAAATTAACAGAAAAGTGAAAACACCAAATAGTTATATCCTTACCTAATGAATAAACAAACAAGATCATAAATAGTCCTATCCCAATATCCACATCCAATTGAAAAAACTGCCTCCATGTGCAATCCTGGCACCATCCTAGACTCACATAATTTCTGTATCTTTTATTATAAGTAAATCTCCAATCACCAGTATGAAAGGGAATCAGTTTTGAATGGAATAATTATATTTTCTGAAATGATTCCAGTTTAAGGTACAACAGCTGAACTAATCCATTATTTTGCCCCTTTCTTTCTGATAAGAGAGTATTTTTTGAGGTATCTTCTGCAGATTTTTTTCAAGTATTTCATAAAATTTTAGGGCTTGATGAAGATAGTGGATACATTTTCCAGATGTTAGATGCCTAGAATGTTCACAAAGTGTGAAGAATTAATTGTCTCTTAGGACAGCCACACACACAAAAAATTCATGATGTAGAATTACTAGCTTAAGCATTAAAAAAGATACCGGCGCTATTGAAATAATTCACAGGTTCTAAAAATCAGTGGCAGAGCAAGAATAAATGTTGGATCACACAATGCAATATGTGTATATCCTTTCTCTTTATGCTGTGGTTGAATTTTCCTGGAAATGAATAAAAAACATAGCAAGAGTTGGGCGTGTTCATGAATTTGATGAGCAATAGTTCTAAAAATAACAAAAATGCAAAATGGGAGTTAAAAACAGCAACAACAACACAAACTGGCACTTGAGGCATATATCCACCTTTGGACTCCAGCGCTATCCCCCTGCTAAAAATACTAATTAGAAGGCAAAGAGGAAAAACAATAAAAGTTATTGTAATAAATTCATAAAAATTGGGAGAGTTTCATGGAACTAACTTTGCTTAGTGAACACTAATATTTTATTGTCTTAAATTTTCAACATTTACTCCATAACTATATGATAACAACTGTGTTTGTTACATAGGGAAAATGCAAAATGCTGTAGATTAGTAAGTTTGAATCGAAATGTTTATTGGTGCCATGATATAATACATTTATTTTTTGGTGTTGTTTTTTCATTTATGTTATTTGGGTAATTTTACCTTAACATTCACAGATTTTGTTATTTTTAATGGTGCAGATTGTATTTATTTAGATTTTGTTTAAAAAACATCAGATGTTAGCTTCTCCAAAATAAGAGCCTTCAGTGTGATAGAGACATTCTTAAAAGTCTTGCAGTTGAGTGGATTTTCAAAAGCAAAAGAGTGCATTGAAAAATTTTGGAGTTACATTGTATTTTCACAGCATTCTCAATTTTGTCTCCTTTAAGTTTTATTAAGTACATGAGAAGTTTATTATTTTTCACTACAGCCAAGTGATTTTATGGGTATCTACTTGTCTTTTATATGAATGTAGTATCTTGCTTTCAGTTCTTCACAGGTTATTGAAATTATTTAGCCAATTAAGACATTCTCTTTGTGTTATTTCCAAAGTCAACCATGTTTATCAAAATCTCACTATAGAGATTGAGAAAAATAACAATTGTGATATAAAAACATTGTGCAATATTCTTTTTTGAGTTGGAACATAATATTCATAAAATTAAAATCATTTAAAATGAGTATTCAAACTTCACCTCTTTTTATTTAAAATCATTTGCTCTAAAATAGTTTTCACTTCTGCATTTCATATTTTCTTAAAAATATGGTGTTTTTCACTGTGAATAAGCAGAAATGGTACAGCAGATCTGCCAAAATGAGAGATACTTTTCCACTGAGTTACAAGCATAGTGTGATTTAGTAGGATGAACACTGCTACACAGCAAGAGATAGAATTGGTTATAGGGTTTCCCTCAGCCCTTTATCGTCACCAAATGCGCGGTCAGTCAATATTCAGATACTACTTCACTGCTTTCTGCTGTCAGTCTAAAGGTAGGTTACTCAGTAGAACAAATGCTCCTGAGGTTTTGCCAGCAGGCCACAGCCCAGCTTCTAGAGAGGCAGTTGGGTAATGCTTTCAGCAAAGTGGGATGGGGGTGACAGTGGGACTATTCTCTGACCCCTTTTATTTATCAGCTTTGGTCTATAGCCAATCCCCACTTATCTTTGCCTTATTGGGGACAAAAGAATGGCCTTTTCCTGTTTATTGTTTAAAGATCTGCATATCAATAAAGCAGGCAAGCACATTGTCTAAACAAAGATGCTTTCCACAGGGGAGTTGCAGATGTTGGGGGTCTTGCCCACAAGGCAGTTTGAGGCCTCTATTTGGAGGAGCGGCGCCCCTCGGGTGCACTTGGTTTAAGAGCATTGGCCAAAAGTCATTGTTTATTTTATGACTTCCCAGGAGGAGGAAGGTCTCAGGCTTTCTGTATTTGCTCAAATGCATTTGTTCCCTTGAGCCCTGGGCGAGAGTCACTTTTAATGAGCCCCAGGCTATTTCCGTGTGCAGAAACTGCAGCAAGTTCCCTGGGCTCCATGCATGTTGGCACTAGGGCACATTGCACTATACTTTTTTTTTTTTTTTTAATGTCATTAAAATTTACTTTTTAGGGGCGCCTGGGTGGCTCAGTCGTTAAGCGTCTGCCTTCAGCTCAGGTCATGGTCCCAGGGTCCTGGGATCAAGCCCAGTATCGAGCTCCCTGCTCTGTGGGAAGCCTGCTTCTCCCTCTCCCACTCCCACTGCTTGTGCTCTCTCTCTTGTTGTGTCTCTCTCTGTCAAATAAATAAATAAATTTTTAAAAAAAATAATTTACTTTTGAAATTTGTATTTAATGCTATCCCAAGAACCTATAAAAGTTGTCACACTTTGAGGCCTCCCTTCAACTGGGGCAACCCTCACTGACTGCATAGTTCCAGGCATAGCGACCTGTCCGCAGATAATGGTTGGAACCCAGTTCCCTGGAGTTCCCGTTTCACCTTTTTTTTTTTTTTTTTTTTTTTTAAGATAACCAGTCCTTCTTTAGTTTCCACTGGCATTACTTGCAGCATTTCTTTCAGAGACAAGTGTCTCTAAGGAGAAAAGATTTTTTTCTTTCTCTTCAGAAGTCCATTTTCCCATTCTGCCTACATTGGCTAGCATTGGTGTACAAAGCTGTCTCTCGAGTTTGACTGTAAGCTTCTTGAAGACAGGACTTGCATATTCATCAGAGTGAATACAGGATACTGGATAAATGTTTGCAAAAGGCAATATAATTCCTTCTAGGGAGAGGTCTTTTCCCACTCTTCTAGCTGCCCTATCTCCTTTCCTCCAATCTTCACAGACGTTTTCCACGACCATAATCACGTTTTCATTTTTGACTTTTCTGGCTTGGAGGGCACATGTCTTTCTCCTCTTTGACAGCAAGATATATGTTTGGTCAAAGTGGCAGGGTGTTTTGTAGGCACCCAACTACTGACTCCTAACCCCAATTGCTCCTCTAGGAGGAGTACTTCAGCCAGGGTATTCTATGCAGGATCTTCCTTACCAAATTGTTCTGGCTGCTGATTCTTCCCTTGTAGAAACCTCTGTGCCCACTGAAGATTTTAGATGCAGAGTATCTGGATTAAACAAGAAGACTCTCAATAATCACTGATCTTAAGGGAAGATAGGCTCCTGGCAAAGACAGGGGTCCCTCACCTTATCAGACCACTAGATGGCCTATGCCATTTTACCAAGAAAAGTGTGTTCAGTCATTTTCAATTCACAAAAAGGCCAAGCATTGGTTTCCACATGGAGCACTGTTCCGAGTAGACAGGTGGGACAAATGGACTGTATAAGCTAACTCTCAAGATTGGGGAGTACCAGAGATCTTGGTTTCCAGGGAAACAACCTAAGATCTTGAGAAAAAGAACATGATCAGCCAGGGTATGGGGTCTTCCAAATCATCAATAATGAGTGTTGTATATGGTTCAACGTTCTCTACGTTCTTTTATTTTTGATCCTATTCTTTCCTGCATGGAAAACCATAATATCACTCAGACTTTAGGACCCATTTCCTCACAGTTTAGTTTTTGACATCATAAAGAGGATGAGGTGTGGCATCTCCTATAACCCCTTGTGCACACTTCTTATATGGAACTGACCTCATTATATTTCAATTGTTTGTTGGCAAGTTGTCTCTTCCACTAAAATTTGGGTTGAGAGTAGGTTTGGTTAGTTCAACAAGATTTACTGAATGTCTTTAAGACCTTGGCATTTTTCCAGGTGTTGTAAATACAGAGACAAATAAAAGCAGTCTCTGACCCTGAGAAGCTTTATCTAGTAGGAAAGACAGACATAAACATATTTCTCAGTATTATGGTAAGTGCAAGGATAGAGGTAAGTATAAGTTGCCTTAAACTCGGAGAGAAACTTAGTGCAGCTGAGGGCAAAGAAAGATTCCTCAAATTGGCTACTGTCTTGTTCTTGAAGGATGAGTAGGAATTAGCAAGGCAGTTTCAGTGGAAGTGGGGTCTGAAGTAGAGTCTGAAGTGGGGGAGCAGTAGGTTGGACAGGTTAGGAATTGAAGATAGTGAGTGCAGATTATTCTTCTCAGAAGATTCAGTGAGAATAAAAATGTTGTGGAAGTTTGCTGAACCCCTACCTTTTCCCTTCACCTTGCATTGGTCAGAGGGAAGTCTAGGAGGTCATAGTTATTTGTTGTCATAAACATTTAGTTCCTGGGGCGCCTGCGTGGCTCAGTTGTTAAGCGTCTGTCTTCGGCTCAGGTCATGATCCCAGGTTTCTGGGATCGAGCCCCGCAGCGGGCTCCCTGCTCCGCAGGAAGCCTGCTTCTCCCTCTCCCATTCCCCCTGCTTGTGTTCCCTTTCTCGCTGTGTCTCTCTCTGTCAAATAAATAAATAAAATCTTTGAAAAAAATAAATAAATAAAATAAACATTTAGTTCCATTGACAAAAAAAGTGTTTCCTTTCTCGGGCTCAGTAGAAATGGACTTTCACATTTAAGTTCATTTTGTGAAAAGTCATCTTTCAAGAATACGTTAGAGCTATTTTAAAGAAATAATAACTTCATAGGTAGTAGTGACCCAAGTGTTTCAAAAAACAAATAATAATGAAATGCCTGTCATACCTTCCCTGTCCCCTCAGACTTCCCATAATTTAAAACTTGAAGAAACAGAAAAATGTATGTCTAAAAATAGTCCAAAAGTGATTATAAGTGGTTAAACATGAAAAAAAAAATTTTTTTTTTAAAGTAGGCTCCATGCCCAGTGTGGAGCCCAATGCGAGGCTTGAACTTAAGACCCAGAGATTAAGACCTGAGCTGAGATCGAGTCGGATACTTAACTGGCTGAGCCACCCAAGCACCCCTGGTTAAACATTTTTAAAGGTCTACTTTCTTGTGTCTCTCTATTTTCATGGAGTAATAAGTCTCTTCCTTCCTCTGCCTGTTCCCTTTAAAAAATAATTTCACTATAATACATATAATAGATGTCAGTTGGCTGTCAACTCAGAGATGGCAACATCATATTTGAAGGAAAGACCTTATCTATAATTCATGGCACCATGGGACATAATCAACTGAGAGAGTCTATACAGTGGGAATCATGAAGTCTGAAATCCTATTAGAGTTATATTTTTTCATTTAAAGAAAGTGTGGAATTATGAGAAAGGAAACCTTAATTTCCTTCCCAAAACAAAGTTCTTAAGCTGTCTACTCTTTCCTCTAAGGAGGCTCATCATTAAAATATCTTGTTTGACTTGTTATTTCTGACTACTGACTAAGATTATTATTCATGAACTTGCAAAACCTCTCATCACACCACCAATGACCTCAGGCTAATCAGACAATCTCGTGAGAACAAAAGGATTTTCTTAAATGCCT